TGCAGGTACTTAGTGGTAGGGGACTGTAGCTGTTAGTCTCACTCTGTCATCCTCGTCCTTTTCATCCCCAGTGAGCCCCATCTCTTGTCCGACAGCTCCTCCTCACCCTTGTCTTCGAATCCGGGGCAAGATAGCAGTGGTCTTGCTTTCCTAAGGAGTCTTTCTTTCCCAAGGAGTAGGAAGAGGGGCAATGGATGGACTGAGGGTGGGCAGATCATCCCTAGTGTGAGATTCCATGGGAGATCTTGTCTTTTGTTTCAATACAAACTCTAAACCAGACCTTAAACCCACCCCCACCCCCTTTTATCTTTATCTGGGCCTTGGCATTACCCCACTCAAGTTCAGCCTGTGTGGATGAAGCACTCTGATCTCAGGTTGGTGCCTGGGTTTTTGGTCTTGAGGTTGTCTTCATAACTCTCAAGTATTTGGCTGTGGATGCTCTGTCATCTGGGGCCTTCCGAAGTACATTTCTGTGCTCAGTGTTCGCTGTCTCCTCCCTTCCTTCCACCCTCTGTTTGTCTTCCACTCTTCCCAGGTCGTGGCACTCCCTGCCCTGAAGCCTCTCTCAGAGCATCATTGCCTTGCACTTTGTTTGGGCCCATCCCCTCTCGTGCTCACTTGTCTCCACATCTTTAGGGCACTCCAAAGGGTGCTGCTCTGTAAGAGATGGCAAAGACAGTGGGTACGTCCCGGTAGCACTCATGAGGGCCAGTTAAACACTAGGTAGAGAAACAGAATACTTGATGGAGAGTGGTCTTGCCACAGTGGCACTGTCCCCCTTTGTTCCTGGTCATGAGGGCAGTGAGGAGGGCTGGTTGCTGCAGTGGATGATTGTGTCTGACATGAAGATACAGTTCAGCTAGGAGAATAAAAGCATTCTCTGGTAAAAAGCCCTGTCTTTTTCCCTGAGGTTAATGTGGGTGAGTGCGGGTTTGAGAGCACTGCCGGTCTGCTCATGGCGGTGGGGCTGCGTGCTTTACGAAGGGCTTATTTGGTCCTTCCAATAACTGCAGAGTGTAGTCCTGTAAAAACCTGGCAGTGGCTCATGGTCCTCTTTGCTGGTCCCCTCTTCTGTGAAACCTAAGCTTCTCACAGCTAAGGTGAAGATCTGTCAGGGCTGCTTCAGGGATATTCTATTGTCATACTGTGTGTGTTTTTTTTTTTTTTTTTTTTTTTTAGATCTTGGGAAGCTAATGGGTGGTAAGAGCTAAGACAATGTAGAAAATTGATGGATTTGATTATAAAAATGAAAATAATTCTGAAAGATCATCCACAAAATTCATGAGCAAACAAGAAGCTGGGATAAGATATTTGGAACCAATAAAGCAGAATATTAAAGGGTTTATGTCCTTAAAAAAATAAAGATTTTTAAACACTATAGGCAAGGGGATACGAAGATAAGCCACAAAAGTCTCTGTACTTGCTAGCAGACATGAAAAACTTGTGAGTCAATGCATCACAAAATCCTACCCACTGGTGCAGGTTTGTTGTAGAGTTCTCAAACTTTGATGAGATGGACCAATTCTTTGCTGGTGGTATTGCCAATTAGGAGAGTCTTCCTGGAAGATAATTTTATGTCTCAAAAGCCTCATACAGTTATCTCCGTAGTCCTCTTCAGGGACTCTTCCAGGGGACTGGGATGTGCAAAGGGTTTGTTACGCAGTACCATCACATTTCATTGTAATTATTATAAGTATGGTCTTCCACATGGCCACCAGCAGAATTATAATTTCTACACTGGAACTTATCACTGTTACCATAGTTCTGAAGAGAATAATGAGATGTGTATATGCTAGAAAGGTAGTGATGGGTTTTGAAGGGGGTAGTAGGATCACTGGGGGTTGTCTGGATGCAGAATTTTAGGGCTGCCTTCTTTCCTCTTGGAATACTGCCAGCATCACGTGGTGGTTGTGGTGGTCTTCGTCGTCTTTTTTACTATTAAATGAGAAGTCTTATAAAAGACCATATATGGATCTTCCCTTAGTAAACAATCTTTTTGTTTGTTTTTTCCTGACAAACAACATCTTTCCTGTTGAGATTTTATATCTTCAGAATTTAGACATTTTACTGGGGTGTGTCCCTGGGGTCCTCTTTCAGTATTCTTCCCAGTCTAGCTCTTGAGATGTCTGGTGGATGTGAAGTCTTCCTTTGCTGTGAGGATATTTTTGTCTGTTACTTCTTTGACTCCTTATCCATCTGTTCTCTTATTGTCTCTGAACACTCCTCTGTGTATGTCTGTATTTCTTTATTGTGTGAGCTGGATGAGGGAGGGAGGGAGGGAGGGGGAGAGAGAGAGAGAGAGAGAGAGAGAGAGAAGGGGAATCTTAGTCGGGCTCCATGCTCAAGGTGGAGCTGGATTCAGGGCGGCTCGATCTCACGATCTCAAGATCTTGAGATCATGACCTGAGCCGAAGTCAAGAATTGGACACTTAACTGTGAGTAAGCCACCCAGGTGCCCCTGGAAACTCCTCTTATATAGACATTGGTTCTTCTGGTACTAACATCTTTTTGTGGAATAGTTCTGATAATTTATGAGCTTAGCTCCCAGTGTATCTACCAAGAGATTATTTTGGCAGTTATTTTTAACCTCCAAGAACTCTTTGGTCATTTAGTTCTATAGTTATTACTATTTTGTGAATCCCACTGAAGATAGGAGTTAAAATTACTTTTAGGGTACTTTCCTGATTCTTGGCTTTTTTTTTTTTTCTTTTTTTCCCTGCCTCGTCAGGCATTTAGTCTTGTAGCTTGGTCTGATTTCTGCTTGTTTATTCCCCTCTGATGTCCCCTGACATGCCATCTCATCCTTGGTGCCAGCACTGGGGCTGGCCCCCGTTTTGTGTACAAGGCTGCAGAGTGGTGGTCTCAACTGAGCTTTTTGAAGTCGAGCCCTCTGTTAGTTGCCAGATGGGTGTACTGTGGGGATTGCAGAGTGGTTTTAAAATGTGATTTATGCTTTTGTATTTCCAAGAAGTCTCTGCAGTGTTTTTATAACCAGAAATAAAATAGTATTATATGTTATCACTATCTTGGACTCTCAGATTACAGACCCTGGTGCCATTTTGACTTTTTTTTTTTAAAGAATTCATTTATTTATTCATGAGACACAGAGGCAGAGGTACAGGCAGAGGGAAAAACAGGCTCCTCACAGGGAGCCCCATGCGGGACTCAATCCCTGGACCCTGGGATCATGCCCTGAGCCAAAGGCAGATGCTCAACTACTGAGCCACCCAGACGTCCCACCATTTTGACTCTTGCCTTGACCTGTGCGCTTGATGTAGTGGGTGCTAGTTCTAGTTCTCTCCCAGTTTCTCTCCAACCACCTTTCTTCCTCTTCTGTTGCTGCTGCCCTGCAGCCCTCATCCCTTATCTGCACAGCCACTCCAGGCTTCTGATCGTCATCTCTACTTGTCTTCTACTGTGTCCACTATGTACACAGTAGAGAAGTTCCTTCCCAAAGCACAGATCTGACCACTATCCTTATCCTCTTTGGGTCTCCCTATATTCTCTTCTTTTCCCCGCTGAATTGAGTGGAACTTACTTAACCCAGCACGCTCCTGGTCCTAGCTAGTCCTTCTTAGCTGTGCATCCACCATCACCTGTGCAGTGATCTGTTTGGTAACTAATCTTACTGCTTCTCTGATGTACCTTGGTACATGGTTGGGTTTGGTCTGCTTCACTTAGGTGGGCAGAGGCAGTCTGGAGGTGACAGGAAGCTGGCCTTACTGCACTCATCTATTGGTGGTGTCCCAGTGACCAGATGAGCAGCTTGAGCACTGTACCGGGCATAGAAGGCCCCAGATGAAGGGAGACAGAGAATCCGAGAGAGAATCACTGAAAGATGTATCCAAGGCTTCAAGAAGAGGACAAAGCATGCTGACTACAGAGTGGAAGTATGTATGTGAGGAAAAGACCAGTAAATACATAAGGGTAGAGCTACTGTAGTTCAAGAAAAGGTCTCTAATCTGCTCTAGGAACCTGAACAGCCACATAAAGAAGTAGCCTCACTGGTAGCCATAGAACAGGTGAACAATAGAAGAAGGGACACTCCTGCTTCTTTACAAACTTTGTTTTTCTAGGAATTCTTTGTTTTGTTTTTGAATTGTAAAACACTTTGAGAGCACAAGAAAAAGGTTAATTCTGAGTAAAATCTCTGTTAGGGCCATAGGTAGAGCCTTCAGGGTTTTCAAAGCAATGTCCATAACTTCCCCTCTGAGTACAGAAAGTCCTCACTTTTTTTTTCCTCTCACTTTTATATATAGGAACCTACATAGTAAAATGGGTCCTCATATCCCCTACAGGCAGCAGAAATGAATAAGGAAAAATATAGCCCGCTCATCCCTGCTATAATAAAAGGAAAATTATTTAAAAAGTCACAGAATTGCAGTAAGTCTCATAGACTTACTCCTTTACGGAGTTCTGTCTGGGGATATGCTTCCCAAACTGGAACATGAATCCCTTGTTCTTGTGCTGAGGATCCACATGGCACATGGGGTATATCATTTTTGGAGGAGGGAGATGTTTTTATTTATTTATTTTATTTTTTTGGGGGGGGGTGTTTTTAAACCAGGGTTTCTCAGCCTTGATACTATTCACATTTGTGGCCAGGTTCTTTATTTTTTTCAGGTTGTTCTTTATTATGGAATCTATCCCATGCATTGTAGGATGTTTAGCAGCACTCCTGGTCTCTACCTGTTAGATCCTAGTAGCTCTTCCCTGATTTGATGACCAGAAATATCTCCAGGCTTTGCCAAATGTCCCCTGGAGGGAAAATCACTTCTGGTTGAGAGCTACTGCTTTAAACAGGCATGGGTATGATGTAACCAAGAATGCAAAATGCACATGAACATTAAACTAGAAGAGTCCATCAAAAATGTTTGATGTTCTACTTAAGGCAACATGATGTTTGGGCACCTGTTTCTTTCGGCTTCCCTTTTTGTGCTCTACCTACTGAACGCCCAAATTTTGTATAATTTCTTTTTTCTTATTTGTCTGTATTTCAGTTTCTCCTCTGGCTCATCCAGTCGTTGTTGAATGAAAGAGTCCCTGGCAGACTTCCTCGAACAGGTTTCCTATTTGTATTTCTAAGCTTTGGGTAGGTCTATCTTCACACGTACAGGATAGCTTGGCTGGGTTATTCACTCTCAGTGGGACATTAATTGGTGCTGAGATCCGACATCATTCTGATGAATGTTCTGTCCTTTCTCACCCCTACCTGCTTGTGGTATATATTTCTTTTTAATAAAACTTTGAGCATACTTAGGCATGTTTTATTGTACATGTGCCAACCCTTGTAGGGATCCTTTATGTCCTCTCATTTTTGGAAGCCAGAATTCCCCAAATGCTTATTAATTTTTGGGTGGATCTCTTTTATTGTCCAAGTCATACTTTGGTTTGAAATTGAGTTTTTAATTTTCTTCTTCATTGAAACTTGGCTGCATAGAATTGTTTCAGTAATTTCCTACTCCTGACTTTTGCTTAGAATTTCTCTTAGCTTGGAGCATTGCACTTTTCCTCATTGACATCTTGGAACGTTCCAGATCCATTTTGTTCTCCTTTTCCCTCCCCCCTTTTGACATTTTACCTCCTTTTCTATTTTGTCTTTCTGGTTTCTTCTTTATGTTATTTGATGAATACAGAATGTTTTGGCTTTATGTTTTGTGTGGCATTCTTCTAGCCCATTTAAAGGTCATTGTGATCCATTCTAGGAACTTTGTGTGGTCATTTAATCCTAGGTTGGTTTTATTTATCTATTTTTTTTTAAATGTTCTTGAGTGCCTTCCCCTGCCTATAATTGGATACCTATAGGGAATTCAGAACTTTAATATCCATGCAATCATAGTATATTAGCTATAACTGCATTCACTGTCTAATATGGTTACTGCTAGTCACACGTGACTATTTAAATTTAAATTAATTAAAATTAGATACAAGTAAAAATGGGTTTCCCCTACAGCCTCGTAGGTAGTGAGATTGGCTCGGACAGGGCAGATGCAGAACATTTTCATCTCTGCAGCAGGTTCTGCTGGAGAGTGCTGGGCTGTGAGAGCTGGACCCTAGTGCGTGTCAGAGAAATCCCTGTGTGGCCTTTCCATCCTTGTACTTAGGTATTGCTGATGGCCCAAGTCAGTGGTCCCCTTGAGGGGGCAGCTCAGAATCTGCATGATTAACCGGAGATGGGGGACTTAAAGTATGATTAAGTAATGTGCTTTCTTTGCTGTTTGGATGTAATGCATACTCTGACTTCTCCGCAGGAAATGCAGTGAACGTGTGTCCTGTGCTGTTTGTGGTGATTTGGCTGCTTCCTCTCTCTCTAGGTGCTGAGAGATGGCGCTTATGGGGTTCCTCTCTGCCTGAGCATCGGGCCCTCTGGGCACTGGAAGAGCCAGCTCAGATCCTGGGCTCTGCGCCTGCACAAGCCTTCTCCTCCAGCCACTTCAATCCAGCGGCTGAACTGCTTGTTTCCTCTTAATGATGGGTATTGGTAAGAACACTACGTCCAAATCCATGGAGGCTGGAAGTTCAACTGAAGGCAAATACGAAGATGAAGCAAAGCACCCTGCTTTCTTTACTCTTCCGGTAATTCTGTTGTTCCCTTCTTTCTCTCCCCTTGACTCTCAAGTACTTTCCGTATCGAATCAACATAGGATTAGCTTTAATACTCCTCTGTTTTCCCTGAAGGTTAAGGCATCTGAGAACCAAATGCTTTTCATGGGAGCTAGTCTTTGGGAACTCCGTTGGCTGACTGGTTTTGGCTCTGCTGTGTGGAGTCACCTGATGGGATTAACTCCAGGAAGGAAACACACACTGTTGTGAATGTTGTAAAACCAGCCCCATGCTTACTGTGTACTGGAGGATGCTGAAAGCTTAATTCTCCCTCTAAAACTATGTTCTAATGAAATAACCAGAAACCCAACTTCAGACTTACCTTGCAAGGTAGAAGAATGAATGAATGAATGACTCACCACTTGGAACCCCAAAAGTCCATGGTTTATATTATGGCAGCAGCATCCAAAATGTAGTTTTACCTGAACAAGTGTTACCAGTTAGAGAAGGCTGATAACACACATTTGTTATAGTCAATGCTGATACTTTTCCAGATGCAGAATTATGATTTGATGTGTATAAAGTTACCTAAAGTGTTGGTTCAAAAAAGGAAAAAGCTCTTTAGAGAAAACATCCCTCCAGGTGTTTTTCTTTTAATACTGGGAATGAGGTTCAGGGCAAGAATATCATTCTAGGATTCCCTAAAGCATGGTCCTGGAATTTGCCTCACTGTGGCATTATTCTGCAAGAAGAGTGTGAACATGTATCCTTAAGTACATTGACTTGACTGGCATTCACATTTTGATTTTTACCCTATTGATTCACAGAGAGGTGTCCCATTGGTTTTACAACTGGCATCACTGTTTTCTTTCTTCCTATAAAGTGAAATTTTTAAACTGGATTTTCTATTGTGTTGAAGGCTTAGGGTTACTATTTTCTGGAGGCAGAGGCAAATTGGTTTTCCAAGTTTAAATTAGATCATCTTTAAAGAGTGAAAAGGAAGCCTTCATGCCTGAGTGTTGATTTGTCTGTCCTGCTGCCTAAGAGCCCAGCAAACCATTCCACCCTTACTGTCCACTTGACATGAACACGAGCTTGCCTTCTCCACCCCCCCCCCCCGTAATTATGGGTAAGAGTTTTAGGTTGACTTGTTTTCATACTCAAATTATGAACTTTGCAGTTAGTTGAATGCACAGCATATACTGTCCGTTTTCATACTTATTCCCTGTTTTGATTTCCTTCTACCTTCCTCTTCACTCACTTTTCATTAAAAAAAAAAAAAAAAAAAAACCACACAACAAAAACCAAAACACTGGGGATCCCTGGGTGGCTCAGCAGTTTAGCACCTGCCTTTGGCCCGGGGCGTGATCCTGGAGTCCCAGGATCGAGTCCCGCGTCAGGCTCCCGGCATGGAGCCTGCTTCTCCCTCTGCCTGTGTCTCTGCCTCCCTCCCTCTCTCTCTCTCTCTCTCTCTCTCTCTCTCTCTCTCTCTCTCTCTCTCATGAATAAATAAATAAAATCTTAAAAAACAAAACAAAACACTGTGTGTGAACGATCACTACCTTTGTCTTTGTACATCTGAAAATAACTATATTTTGCTGTCAACTATTGGGTGAACCTCTTAATTACACACTAGAGTTTTTCAGTATCTTTGTTTCTCTTTAACTGCTTTCTCATGGTTTGGGTATCTTTTTCTAGTGCTAACTTCTGGATGGATTCCCTGGTGTTATTTTCCAGTTTATTAATTCCTTGTGGACAGTCATGTGTTTATGTTGAATTTTTGTTGCAGGGATTATAATTCTTATTTCTATTTGGTTCATGCCTGCCTATTTTTCGTTCTTAATTTCTTGTATGTATGTGTTTGTGTTGTTTAAAAATATTTCTTCATTTAAGTCACTGAGGACCCTAGTACTTTTTTTTTTTTTTTAGGATTAAAAAAAATTATTCATGAGAGACATAGATGAGAGAGAGGCAGAGACATAGGCAGAGAGAGAGAAGCTGGCTCTGTGCCCAGAGCCCAATGTGGGACTTGATCCCGGGACTCCGGGATCATGCCCTGGGCCAAAGGCAGATGCTCAACAGCTGAGCCATCCAGGTATCCTTCTAGTACTTATTTTAAAGTAATTCTTCAATTGTTCTCTTTTTATCTGACAAATCTCTTCTGAGATTTTCTTCCCTCTGTACACCCCCCCACCCCCCATTCCCCCACTTGTGTTGCTGTGGTTTCTCATTCTCCCTTCCTGGACCCAGTCCAGAACTGGATTTTAACAGCAAAGATCTAACTCTCTGCCTCAGTGGTGTCAACCACGACATGAACTGCTGGACCCTAGCTCTGAGCACTGGACCTGGTTCTCATCCCCCTTGTTGGGGGTGGGGGCAAGTCCCTGTCTCCCCACTGGTGCTGAGGGCTGCCTGACTGAGGCTGCGAGGCTCAGAGCCTCATGGGGCCCAGTGTCAGCCTATTTGTTACTTTGTTTCTTGTGACAAAGTTTTATCTGTTTTGGGGTTTCCTCCTCTACCATTATTTATAGGAGTGGGGCTGGGAAGGACTGTTCCTCAGAGCATTAGCTTCCAGATCCATCTTCACTAGGAGTCCCTCCAAGTACCTGGGAGCTAAGAACATGGACATGATGTGTAGTTGAGTGTAAATATAATGTGAATATAAAGTCGGTTTAACAGTACAAAAAAAAACAACAACAAAAAAAACAAAAACAGTACAGTGGTTTCTTTCGGGAATTTGCAGAATTTTTCGCCTTGTGTTGGGCTATAATGGTAAGCGTCAAAAAGGAGTGAGAAAGAGTAATAGAGTTGGCCTCATGGGATCAAGCTGCTGGCAGGAGAGAAATGCCAGGGGAAGAGGCCAGGAAGGGTCAGCACATGAACCACCAGGATGACTTGGAAGCAGGGATGTCAGGAAGTGTGTTCACACAAACTCCTGCGGAGCTTATGAGAAAGCAGAGAAGGAAAACAGATGAACAGCAAAAGTCTGTCAAAGAATGTTTGTAAAGAAATAGTTGATGTGATTGAATTTGGGGTTATAGAAAGTTTTGATAGGAAATATTTTGTAATAAAAATAGGAACACTGTACTGCCCATATTTAATCAGTAGTGAGATTGCTGTCCCTTAGAAAACTTAGAGTGAGACAGAAGACCGTTTTTGCATGGCTTGCTTGTTAACAGGACAGTCTAGTGGCTAGAGAGGAGGTAGTCTCTCCACTGTCCAACTGGTAGGATTATTTTGGTCACTGCCTCTCTGCTCTTGGGATGTTCATCTGTGTCTCCCTATTCCTCATTTGGCCCACGAGTCTAGACAGTAATTTCATAGAATTGGGCAACCTTAGAGCTAAAAGTAGCCATAGAACTCTCTTAGTGGTTCTGTGGGAAGGTGAAATGCACATAAGTGTTTAGTTCGTACTGTATGTTAAGTAAAGTTCACATCTGTTGGATCACACAGTCTCTTGGCCTAGCTAGCTCAGCTCTGGGTGAGTAAGGCAGGAGCTGCACACAGACAACACTGGTGACAGGTACAGTGTACATTGATCTTCTGAGTTTGACAGATGTTCCTGGGCATGGTCTTTAAAAAAAAAAAAAAAAAAGAAAAAGGGAGTTGGGATGGGTGGTGATTGAGCTGTTGTAGCTGCTGCTCTGGTGGGAATAAAAAGTGGAAGAGGAGGCTGGGTGTCTTCTTGCCTCCAGCTCCTTGTCACTGTAAGCATCTGGTGACCTTGGTGATTCTTTTTTCTGTCTCTCTCTCTCTCTCTCTCTCTCTCTCTCTCTCTCTCTCTCTTTTGTAAAGCTTTTATTTATTCATGAAAGATACAGAGAGAGAGGGGCAGAGACACAGGCAGAGGGAGAAGCAGGCCCCATGCAGGGAGCCTGATGTGAGTGGGACTCCATCCCGCATCTCCAGGATCACACCCTGGGCCAAAGGCAGACACTAAACCACTGGGCCACCCAGGGATTCCTGACCTTGGTGATTCTGATTGTGTTTTTGTTTTCTCTTGTCCTTAGAGCATGGGCCCTCAATGCACTGGAAAATGGTATTTCTTTTTCTCTAGAGCTGTTCTGCCCAATACGGTAGCTGCTAAGCCACATGACACAAGGCAACTGGTTAGCCCATCTCTTTTTACTTGCTGGTCACGATCTTGCTAGATGCTAAAATGAAGGCTCTTATTTTCATATTTGCTTTGGAATTAGCAATTAGGGCTTAGGCTGTTGGCTATTATGGTGCTAGAGACTGGTGCTCTGGAGTGCAGGGAACTGGGACAGCAGGAATCAGCTGGCTGCTCCTCAAACCAGTTTTGGGGGAGGGTTTGCTGTTGCAGGTTGCCCAGGGTAAGAGGGTGGGTTTTGGTGGCCACGTGCTGGGGATTTTATCATTGGAGATCTTTTGCATCCTATGTTGGATGAGAACTTCCTCAAATGTGGCAGAATCTGATTTTTTTTTTTTTTTTTTTTTTTTTTTAAGAAACTCAGCATGGAAAGGGAGTCAGGATTTCTTCATCTTTTATTTTTATTAGAGAGTGCATGCAAGTGTGTGAGTAGGCGTGGGTAGGGAAAAGGAGAGATACTATTAAGCAGGGTCCATGCCTAGTGCCATGCCTGATGACACAGGGCTTGATCTCAGGACCCTGAGATCATGACCTGAGCCAAGATCAAGAGTCGGACACTTAACCCACTGAGCCACTCAGGCACTCCAGAAATTAGTTTCTTTGAACAAAGTAAAACAAAATCCATGACAGTACTTGAAAAAGAAAAAGAATAAATTCATATGTAGAAGAAGAGTGATGAGTAGATCACATTTGAGAACAAGAGCTTTGCAAAGCTCTAGCATTCGCAGAAGTTAGATTGTGTGATCAGAGTTGATATTAAATAAGAGAAACATAACAAAAGATCTCCTTATCCCACAGGAATCTTGATAGGCAAACTTGTGTGCTTTTAAAGGCAACTAGGAAATGTGTAATATGAGTGAAGGTCAGGTGGCAAGAAAGTAGAACCAGAAAAATAGCAAAAAGTCTTGAAGAACTGTTATAC